GATTCGAACACCGGCCTGGACTTTGGTGCGTCGACCTGTCCGGTCTGGCGGCTAGGCTGTCGGATTCTGATCCGACTAGCCCCGACCAATTGTTCCCTGCACAGCTAAGCGGAGAAAGTTTTGGCAAGCCAAGCTCCGCTTCCTCGGGAGGCCGACCTTCAGTCGCCACTCTGTCGTCACTCTCCTCGATCATTCAAACAGGCGATCGTCGCTTCCAGACGGTCTTTGGCTCTGCTTCTGCCCTCTCGGATGATCTGGGCTTGGTTTCCAACACTTCTCGGATGGCATCTGCGCCGCCTGTCTTCGCGATAGACATTCGCTGGTCCGGGCTTCCGCTCGCCTCGCTGGGCCCCTCCGAGATGGGACTGCAGATAGACTCCGCTAAAGCGGCTGTTGAGCCTGAAGCCTCCCGAGTCCTCCCGGCCTCCGGGGTGCCCAGCTTTCAGCACGAAGGACGGTCCACTACGTGGGCTTATCTCTCCACATACTCGATTCCGTCTGCGGTCTCTTCGTCTTCCGTCCTGCCTAAGATCTCCTCGCAGACCCACTTGGCCACAAATACAATCGAGACGTCATCCAAACCCTTGTCTCTAGACCGTTCTGGACCATCTAACAGTCAAATCTCTCCGCTTCCCTGTTATCTGCTCTCAGAGCTTCGAGAACGCGCCCACCTCAAGGCCTGGCAGATGAACTTTCGCACCAAGAGCCTGGCACACACAGACGTCTCCAATTCTGTAGATACATCCGGCGCTGTCTCCTTCACTGCCCTACCCTCCTCCAATGTGCCAAAGTCTGCAGCTAAACCGCTTGTGACCACCGAGCTGAATAAACGGTTTGTCAAGCACTGGCAGACGAGCAGTCACAACAGGCCTAAGCTCAAAATTCAGAGAAGTGGTGGATTTACTAACTCTGACATAACTGAAGATGAAGTGTATCACTATGCTGATATTGATAATTCGGCAGGAGATTCAACAGAAGAGGAAAAAGAGGATCCAGATTTCAGAATGCTGGACCAGTCCGGTGAAAAGATGCGTCATGTAAGTAAAACTGTTGATTTTTTGTAATTTATTTTTAACCAATATTCTATTCGGTATTAATATGATTAAAAATGCCCTATGTCTCATAAGGTGAGGTAGGAATTGATAATGCTGCTTTTCCCACAATGAAATTAGTAGGCCTCACGATGTCATCGAATTTCATATAACCTCGCCACCCAAAAGATCTCATTTAGGCTGGATTGCTGAGATCCTGGCGAAGTCGAAGTGAAGTTCAGGTATGTAGAAAAACCGGGTTTCGAAATGAAGTTCAGCCGAGATGAGAAAACTTTTTATCTGTTACACTTCAATATTATCAGGAGGCTTTTCTATTGCTATTTTTCTACTCTGTGCTCTGATTACTGGGTTGTATGACTTACATAACCTTATTGCTAAGCCCATTATTTCTCGACTGTATAGCGGAGATATGAAGCGAAATTAGATTTCATGTTGTTGTTTCATTGCATTTGAAAAGGCGGGCGGAAGAGATTTTTTGCAATTGTGGAGTTGCACGAAGAAGACCTCGACGCGCCCGCCACATTCTCAAATGAAGGAAAAGCCTCTCGGTTTCCAGTATGGTGAATTTACGAATTCCTTCCACTCGTCTTTGCAAGGGGAATGAAAGGTACAGAAATATAAACTTGTCAAATATACGAGGTCGAATTCCAGGGTAGACCTCTTGTTTCGCCATGCCGTTTTTGCAAAAGGGTTCATCAGGCTAGAGAGTTCTTGCCAAGGAGACGACAGTAGTCGGAATAAAGGTGTGAAAAATAAGTTACGCGAACAGCACCCTGGCCTCAGGACTGGGCCATGGTTTCTTATTTGCACTGTTGACTCACACATCGGAAGACGAGGGCACTCATTTTTACGCGTAATTATTGGAGTCAAGCCGATCCAGTCACCTTTGTTTTGCCCTCCTCTCTTTTGGAAGAAGTCATTTCCCTCTTTTTATGCCTTGTGTATCATGGAGATTACATAAAAGAAGTATGCATTCTTCAGACCTATCGTTTTCTAGCCAATAGCCTTCGCTATCTCTTTAATGGATGGATTCTTTGTATAACCACCACTATTTTCCTTCACCAGATTTGCGGCTGCATCTGTTAATGGATGTTTCTCCTCCACAAACATACACGCTCACTGAGTCAAATGCCTACAGATTCTCTCCGTCTTTGTCACCTTTTACGATACATCTACCCCAAGGCTGAATGTGGCCTACGACCCATGGTTTTCCAACACCCTGGTCCTCAATATTTTCGTGAGGAACAGCCTTGCACTTCCCGTGTCATCTCGGGGGTCTATGTCTCCTCAAAAACGTCCTCAGTCCTTGTGTAAATGAGGATCAGGTCTCTCTCGAGAATTGTTCGTCGTCGGTGTGATTCCATTGTGACGGACGCCGGTATTAATCTCATCTGGCTTGAAACTTTGTGAAGAAGAGATTCGTAGGTCGGGCTTACTCAAAGACGATGGCAGATAGTCCGATTTCTGTTATCGTTTAGTTTTACTGGCACCTTCAGTTTGACATACTCCTTAGGATATTCTCCTTTTTTTATGTTAAGCTTTCGTCTGACAGAAGTTCATAGGCTGGAACGCACTTTTTTAATTGTCTCGAGATTCCAGCGAGTTAAGAAAACTAATCGTCTTATCTTTACGTTTTAGTCATACTCATAAAACAACTCAAGGAGTGGAAGGCATAAAAAGATTTGGTTATTTCCTTAAGATATCTTTCTACGTTGATATGCATCCATGTAGAAATGGGCATGTGTACCACTTTGGTTTGACTTTTTATTTATACATAATATATTAGTGCGTTTTTTTTGGTGAAATCTGATTTATTGCTCTGACAACGTCTGTCACTTGACTGGTGAAAGCTCGGTACAAATTCGTTAAGTTCGAAGAACGGTGAGCCGAGGGCTTATTCGCACAATCTATCTGTCTCAACTCCAATGCAATCTTTCCTTGGTTTCCACTGAGGCCAACTAAAGAATCTATTTAACCAATTTTTCTTTTGAGTTGATTTCTTAAGGGATTCTTCTAAACCCAGCTTTTCTGCATATATGCGAATCCTTCCATACATGCTTTTACTCGATTTGCTACATTTTTATGGTACCAGTTTCACTCTGGGGGCTGATGAAACCTGGGCGAGATCGAAAATTAAGCCCAGTTTAGATGAGAATACCTTTTTTGGAGCAAGACTACGTAGAATTTAATGGAAACTTTAGCTCCATCCATATTGTGGTGATTTGGACTCCGTGCTGTTTACGAGCTTTACCAGGAGACATATCCGGTGATATGAAGTAAGTGCGTTCTACATGGTCTCCCTGAAAACAAGACCAAGTTGCGACAACGAGGTCAACTCACTTGTATCCATTGAAAGGAGACTGCGACACACCAGAGGCCACAACATCTTGGTCTTCATATATTCAAAGAATGTAATGTTTATATTCCATAAAGATCAGAATTTGTAGAGTGCTAAATAGTTGTATGCGTGTGAAGGAGCAAGAGGATGGATGGAAAATATTGAGCTGGAGTGAGATAAGCATAATAGCTTGCTGGATTTGTGCTACCAACCTGAAGATGCTAATGAATAGGACGCTGCTTAGGCTCAGCACGGACAGGCAGATTTGATATGAAGTCAGCCCTGCTTCAAGACTGCATTTCTTCTGTCAAGCAACGGTTTCCCAGTAGATGTGGACATTGAAACTGTTATTGTATGGCCTTGTTTGGGACTAAGAAACTACCTGAGAGCAGTCTTCCTTAAACACAGGACCGATACAGAATAAGGAAGAGGGGCGTACGGGATGGCGGCACATTAGGCGATGCGCGTGAAGGTAAATTTGTCTGACATCCAGGAGGATCGCTGCTAGGTTGACGATACGGCCACTAGGCTGTAAAAAAGACAATAATCGGGACTTTTACGGTTTGTTGGTGAGACCGACCGTTAACGTGAGAAATGAGTGAACGACGGTGCTGCACGGCGACGGTAGCCACCGCCACATTATCAAAGAAGTGTTATTTTATTCTAATATTCTTATTAGATGTATTCACACTATTTTTTTTAAAGAAATGAAGGACTTGTAGTAGAATTTTCCCACAATGATATGAGTGGAACTGATGCTTTCATTGAATTTCACATAGCCTTCCTTTCCCAAAAATTGTTCTCATTCAGGGTGGATCGTCACAGTTCGGCTCCCGCTTGGGGCGAGGTCGAAGCTACAGTCCACTCTAGTCTGAATAAAATGAAAGTCATTACAATAATACATTTGACTTATTATGACATTACTTTCCAGTCCGAAGTAAAAGTTGTTTGGAATAGACTCGTGAAATGGTCTCACCAAAAACCGAAGGAGTATTGCTGTGGAATGAAGAGTTTTTGACTGTACGACGACTCACCGTTCTGCGATCTCGATGAGCCTGCTTTAGGCTCTCGTCTGTTTAATCAATCTGAATACCTCAATTTTGTTTTCCTAATTCTATTAACTTTGTCTCTCTCGCCTATACACTTTGGTTGCTTGTTCCCTTCTCATACATTCGCATGCACACTGATTCGCTAAAGCCCTTGGTATACGGTAGAGGTTTGGCAGCTGGTCTGATCGGTGTATTCAACGAATTCGAAATTGATCTCCGTCCTTGCCAGCTCTGGCCGCTTGCCTCTGTCCGCCCCGAAACCAGCGGCGACTGCCTCGGCCTAAGCGTCAGTATGACGGGTCCTCGTGGCGTCCGGGTACCAATTCTCAGTCGACTGGCCTTCTGGCCGAAATCTGACAGGACGAAGCTCAAGCAGACAGGACCACAGGAAGCGCCAGCTGATGTTGGCAGTGTCGGCGGCGAGTCGAAAGTGGTGATACGCAGGAACCCCTCTGCCTCAAGGGAATCGACAAAGGCAGTCGCCACCTTTGAGGCCGTGGACATGATCCAACTTGGGGTTGGAAGTCCAGACAGAGTATTTTGCACCTACTTCCCCCAGGAACAGGGTAGGTTCCTGTTCTTCTCAGTCTAATCTGAACTTTGGTGACTACCTCGGCTGAGGTATTTTACAATGTACTGGCTTATTTGCCTAGAAAAAAAA